CTTGTTAGCCTCGCGGCTAACAGACATGCTGAGCGGGCAGCGCTGGGCAGGCGGCGAGGGAGCTCTTCCCCTTAATGCTCTGCTCAGCTCCCTCACGCGCCGCCGAGTGAGGCTGGGAGCCGGAATATGATGTCATCAACCCGGCTCCCGGCCTCACTCTGCTGGCGGCGCACAAGTGCCCGCCCGCCCTGCAGCCACTGGACCCCAGGGAGAGGAAGAACCCCCCCAGCATTCCCAAAGGTAAGGAGGCTGGGGGTGGGGGTTAAATAAAAATAAAACACAAGTGAGTGTGTTAGTGTGTGTGTATGTTAGTGTGTGTGTGTGTGTGTGTGTGTGTGTGTGTATGTTAGTGTGTGTGTGTCTGTCTGTTAGTGTGTGTGTGTCTGCCTGTTAGTGTGTGTGTGTTTGTCTGTTAGTGTGTTTGCCTGTTAGTGTGTGTCTGTTAGTGTGTGTGTGTCTGTTAGTGTGTGTGTGCGTGTGTCTGTTAGTGAGTGTGTGCGTGTGTCTGTTAGTGAGTGTGTGCGTGTGTCTGTTAGTGAGTGTGTGCGTGTGTCTGTTAGTGAGTGTGTCTGTTAGTGAGTGAGTCTGTTAGTGAGTGAGTGTGTCTGTTAGTGAGTGTGTGTTTCTGTTAGCTAGTGAATGCGTATCTGTCAGTGAATGTGTGTGTGTGTGTGTGTGTGTGTGTGTGTATTTAGAAGGCGGAGCAGGGGGGAAGGGTTGGGTGGCGGTTGCGCGGGTGGTGGTTGCGCGGGTGGTGGTAGCGCGGGGGGGGTGCCTGAGTTTTGTCCTGCCTAGGGCAGCACAAAACCAGGATACACCACTGCCCACAGCTGCAGATACAGGCACATGTAAAACAGTTCCAAGAATGGCGACGCAAGCTTGTGGCCCGTGCCAAACAAATCAGGCCATCCATTACATATCAGAAATAGACAGCGGGCACATGGGGATATGGCACTCAGTGATGGAATTGTGTCACAGTGGGGGTGTTGTGTATGTGAGTGCAGGCTGCCAGAGTGTTCTGTGGGTTGTGATTGCATGTGGTAGTGCAGATTTGTAGGGATAATGCTTGTGTTGAATATCTGCGGGGACAATACTTATGATGTTGAGTAGGGGGGAGTCTGCTTGTGGTATTGCACATTTTTGGGGATAATGCTTGTGGGGTTATGTGTGTAGATGAGGTTGTTGAAGAGGGATGTTTGCTATATAGTGTGTATGTATGGATATTGGCTGTAGAGTGTGTGTGTTGGGAAATAGAGGCTGTAATTTTCAGGGGAGACAGGGGCTGTAGTGGGGGGGGAATAGGCGCAGTCTTAAGGGGGGAAATAGGTGATGTAGTAGGAGATTGCTGGCAACTTGTGGTGCTGGGGGCAAAAATAATTTAGTGGCAATTTTACCAACCCACCCGTTAACATCAGCGATAGACATGTGTACACAAACAAAATAGATGCGTTGATAGACATACAAAATAATTGAATAGAAATAATTAAAATGCTATTCACCTGGGTATTTAGATGTGATAGAAGCCCAGTGAGCAATTGCCCTGCCCACATGACACTTGGACATCACTAATCAAAAGGGAGATCTCCCCAGCCAGGCAAGCTTTTAGTAAAATGAGTTCTGAAGGATTTTCCAACAATGGAATGCTATTAATGCATTGAATGTATAACTCTTGTATATCATTCCAATGAGCAGTAAATGCATAAATGTTGTATATAATGCAGATGAGCCATACAATGCCTTCAAAAGCCTACCAGTTCTATCTCTCTGTCCCCAGCATCTCTGTGCCATAACTTTCCCCCCGGCATATATGTACTGCACTAGGGTGGTAGTAAATACCGGCTGCAGTGTGGGGGAAATAGGGGCTGTAGTTTGTGGAATAGGTGTTGTGTTGGGTGGGGGGGTAGGGGCTGTAATCTGGGGTAGGAGTAGTGCTCTAGTGTGGGGTATAGGGGCTGTAATGGAAGGGGAACAGGGGCTGTAGTCTGGGGAAGAAATAGGGGCTCTAGTGGGAAGGAAAAAGGGGCTCTAGTGGGGGGGGCTGCAGTGCAGGGTGGAAAGAGGGGCTTTTTTGTGGGGAGTAAAAGCTAGCCCATTTAGTCCGATCACACAGAAGAGCTACTCTAGATCAAATTGCTAAATAAAGTAATGCTGGCCATGATAGAAAGTGTCAGAACACAAAGTGCATCACAGTTTGCCACATATGAGGCTGTGTAGCTGCAGAGAGGTCAGAGTTCCGATGATAACTCCGCTCAACTGTGAAAGCACCTTCAATGGGGACGTAAGCATCAAAACTGGACCATGGAGCAATGGAAAAAAAGTTGCCTGTCTGGTAAATCACGTTTTCTTTCAGATCAGGCGGATGACCGGGTGTGTGTGCGTCATTTACCTGGTGAAGAGATGGCAGCAGGATGTACTATGGGAAGAAGATAGACCAGCAGAGGTAGTGTTATGCTCTGAGCAATGTTCTGCTGGAAAACATTGGGTCCACGTAACACCTTCCTGGTTGCAGACCACGTACACCGCTTCATGGAGATGGGGTTCACTAGTGGCAGTAGCCTCTTTCAGCAGGATAATGCACCCTGCAAAAATTGTTCAGGAATGGTTTGAGGAACATGACAAAGAGTTCAAGGTGTTGCCTTGGCGTCTAAATTCCCAGATCTCAGTCCAATTGAGCAACTGTGGAATGTGCTGCAACAAATCCGATCCATGGAGGCCCTGCCTCACAACTTGCAGGACTTAAATGTTCTGCTGCTAATGTCTTCGTGCCAGATACCACAGGACACATTCATATATCTTGTGGAGTCCATGCCTCGATGCAGCAGAGTTGTTTTTGCAGCAGGAGGGGGACCTACACGATATTAGATAGATGGTTTTAATGTTGTGGCGATATTCCACTTCACTTAAAACATTAAATCATAAGAGGACAAGAAACATGTCTTATCTTTGTGTACGTCTACATAGTTTATTAAAAAATATGAGTAATAAATTATTTAAGAGCAAGAATATCATTTTAGCTCCTTCTGGAGTTGGGGGAAAAGAACTCTCTGTAAAGAACCATGAAACAATGACCAATAAGGATTTTATACGGGAAGGTACGGAGTTCGAATCCCTGTGACTGTCAGACGCACCACCCCTGAGAGCGATATCCCAAATTTACACCTCGCTGGCAACCGGACGGTACCTTCTGGCACCGCCGGAGATGGGAAGAGGACCTTGAGGACGCACTCACGGACACGGACTGAGATAAAATCATCACACTCACCCAGAAGACTCCAGGTTCAGTGAGGCTCCAAGAAAATTCATATAAAATTTTCACAAGATGGTAAGTCACCCCTGCAGACCTCCATGCCAGAGACAGCGCGAAATCGGACACGTGCTGGAGATGCGGAGAGGAGACCGGGACGTTTCTCCACATATGGTGGGACTGTTCCCTCATTCGACCTTTTTGGGAAACAGTAAGGTGCGTGATCAACAAAATTGCAGACGAAAACCTCCCGATGACACCAGCTTCCTTCTTGCTACACCACACGACAATGCCCACGCCGGCATATAAACGATCAGTGATACCGAGGCTTCTCAACACAGCGAAAACAACAGTCCCCACCTTAAGGAAGCAACCACGCACCCCCCTGTCTCAGATGATGGGTGGAGGAGGTGAAGGACACCCAGAAATTTGAGGACCTGAAGGCAACCACAGTGAAGGCAAAAGAAAAATACACGAAGAGATGGTTTTACTGGCTGAGATATACTGCTTCAGATGACTTCGTGTTACTCCTGAATGCACCCGAATGCGAGGAGGAGCAGGTCGGGGGCATGCGTGAGGTGACCACCTGAGGCACTGAAGGGGCAGAAACTGGGGATACAGATCGGCCAAGCAGCAGAGATATCCACCCGCCCCCCTCTCTCTCCAACTACCTTTCCTCTCCACTCCCTCCTCCTTTCTTCCCCTTCCTTCTTCCCCTGTTCCTGAACTTTGCCCCACATGAACATACCCCAAAAGGGACCCACACAGACACCCAGACATACAAATATGGATTGAGATCCCAGGCGATTACTGACCACATGAACGAGACAAGCGCTCACACCCATACACCACAGCACTAGGCCTCGTGACCGACACCTCAGCCAGCATCACCCACAACCCCACCAGATGGTAGATGTACACCACCACACACGTGCAGATCACATGGACACGTAGCCCTTCGACTACCTTATCACGCATAACCCAACAACACCAAGAAAGCGATAAATACACCTGGCATGGCACAATTATAAACTGTAGGGCCACTCACATTGCAGTATTCCTAAACGATTCACCAGCACGGCCACATACACATATGCGGACGAAAGACATAGCACGGAAAACATAGACCTGGTTGCCATGTAGGCACTTGCACGACCCACTCTATATACCATAATAAGTCTCAGCACAACCAATGCCGCACCAACTGTGACCATACACTCCACACAGCACTGAGCCAGATGAATGTATCTTGGTTTACAAATAATATAGGATAGTCATACTAGGTAGCATATAATAAGCATACGCAGATCTGAACCTGTATGCATTTGACTTATTGATATTTGATAATATTTGTGCTGCAATACCTGGCCTCTACGAAGGCACTTGCAAGTCCACCATAAAATTGCCGTGATAAGCCTCTGCGTAGGCTACGTTGCAACAACTTGCACCCATGTTATATGCTGGTTATACTGTTACTAACAGAATAAAAACCTTTTTAAAACAATAAGGATTTTAATTTTTGTCCAATTATTTTTAACTTCAGTGCTCAATCACAATTTGTGAAGAAAATATTAAATAGAAACACTGCCATCTTTTATTGTAGGAACAAAATGTAGCTCCTGTTTTGCCCAAGTCACCAAGAAGAATTTCTGTGGGTGCCCGAACGTTAAAAAGTGGACTAGTAAAAAGCCAAACTCCTAAAATGAATATAGAAACATAGAATGTGATGGCAGATAAGAACCATTCGGCCCATCTAGTCTGCCCAATTTTCTAAATACTTTCATTAGTCCCTAGCCTTATCTTATAGTTAGGATAGCCTTATGCCTATCCCACGCATGCTTAAAATCCTTTACTGTGTTAACCTCTACCACTTCAGCTGGAAGGCTATTCCATGCATCCACTACCCTCTCAGTAAAGTAATACTTCCTGATATTATTTTTAAACCTTTGTCCCTCTAATTTAAGACTATGTCCTCTTGTTGTGGTAGTTTTTCTTCTTTTAAATATAGTCTCCTCCTTTACTGTGTTGATTCCCTTTATATATTTAAATGTTTCTATCATATCCCCCCTGTCTCGTCTTTCCTCCAAGCTATACATGTTAAGATCCTTTAACCTTTCCTTGTAAGTTTTATCCTGCAATCCATGAACCAGTTTAGTAGCCCTTCTCTGAACTCTCTCTAAATTATCAATATCCTTCTGAAGATACAGTCTCCAGTACTGCGTACAATACTCCAAGTGAGGTCTCACCAGCGTTCTGTACAATGGCATGAGCACTTCCTTCTTTCTACTGCTAATACCTCTCCCTATACAACCAAGCATTCTGCTAGCATTTCCTGCTGCTCTATAATTGTGCTACAATATAATTGTAGATTATGCTAATGTAGTGTACCTATAATCTTAATTTTAGTAATGACAGGAGGCGAATATTTTGCATAACTTTCTTCACTGTAAACTTCAGCAGCAAAGATCAAAGTTTAAACCAATCAGAACAAAAGACACAAGTATGTAACAGGCAGTTTGATCCAGCCTCTTCTTGTGTGAGAAGAACAGCTCAGTAGTCAACAGAACCACTTGAAGTCAAAACCGAAATAAAGAACATGATCCTTCCCGAATGATTGAAGAGAATGCTTGATCCACTCCAAACAGCCCGAAGACGGATGGTTCATGCTGAAAAGACGAAAGTAATGGTGACTTGCCAACATAAACACATACATTGATTTGAATATGTGTATATCTATAACGACTGTAAAAATTAAACAAATTCACACAATATTTACTATATAACTAACCCACTCGTAGAATATAACCCAGATTGTCAAAGGAAAAGATACAACCACAAACAAGCGATAGAGGCAAGAAGGGTGGGAATAGGGTGGGAAAATATTTATATGTACACTACGTTAGCATAATCTACAATTTTACCACATGGACAGGAGGCTTCATATCTTGCATTTTTAACGCTAGGGGAGTAAAGTGAAAGAATCATGAGAAGTAGGTGTAAAGTAAAAGACACGAAAAGTTTCTTCCCGCAACCAATCGGCACAACACATAATGTCAGCCAACGAGACGCCCGAAAAGAAAGTTTGCGACGCCACCGCACCCCTGATCGAATGTGCCCCGAAACATGAATCTATGCCAGCTAAAGATAAAAGCCATCTCGCAAGGGTCGCAGAAGAGACCGGCTTATGTGGGTGCACATACAAAATAAGTAGTTGTCCAGACAGAGCCTGACGCAGAGAAGAGGTAACCTCCACGTATTGGAGCAACATCTTAACCATGCAAATCCGCATGGTCAGCTGAAAAAACAAAGTAGAGTTAGTCTTAGTCCGACGTAAAAATGGAAAAAGAAACCCCTTGTGGCAAGAAGGAGATGTCGAAGGGACAACAACGGGCTATCTAGCCAATCCCTCATGAAATGAAGGAGCATATCCACGTCCCAGAGTCGAGAATATTTCGGAGCAGGTAGACCAGATAATTGGATACCATGAAATAGTCGACAGTCTATCGGGTTCTGACCTACCGGCAAACCGAGAACTGGAACATGTGCGGCAGAAATGGGCGAACGGTAAACGTTAATGGAACGATATGAACTACCTGAGGTGAATGGTTGCATCAAGAAAATTTAGTATGACTGGTAGAGGTGCCGTAAAGGGATTGGAATCCCTCTCCACACACTAGCTATTACACTTGTTCAGGCAGCAAGGTAAATGCGTCTAGTGCCGGGAGCTCATAAGTCCCACAATAGGTCTTTAGTGGCCTGCGATAGGCCGTCGACATTCAAAGATCCATTGAAATTATACAAGCCACTATTTCTGGACGATCCTGTAGGATGAGAGGATGTGGTTCCCCCATGGGGTTGGAGAGTAGAAACTGAAAACTTTGGAAGAAGAAGTGGATGGTCATAGGACAGTTCCGGGAACCATGCTTGGCTCGGCCACAAAGTTGCAATCAGTAGCAGTGAGATCCTCTGTACAAGTAGTTGGTGTAGAACTCTCGCCAACATGGAGCAAGGTTTTTGGGAACGCTTACGCCCCTAGAGAAGGCCATTCCTGTAGGAACACGTCCATCGCTTCGCAGTCTAGATCAAGTAGCCAACTGAAGAACCGTGGAAGTTGGCGATTAGTCCTTGATGCAAAAAGGTCTATCAGTAGAGGTTTCCTGCATTCATGCAGGCACAGAAATATTTTGGGATACAGCATCTAGTCGCTGCTGTCTCTCCAGTGGCGGGAATACCAGTCTGCTGTTAGATTGGACGTGCCCAATAAGCATTCTGTCCTCAATGTAATGTTGCAAGACAGGCAAAAGGTGTAAATGACCTTCGTTGCCTCCGCAAGTGCTCAGAAGCGTGCTCCAATCAGCTTGTTTATGTACTGGACTGCCGAGATGTTGTCCATGCAGAGTAGTATGCAGCAATCTGACATGGTGTTCACCAAGTTGCGTATTGCAAACGAGCCTGCGATCAGTTCCAGACAGTTGATCTGCAGCCCCATTTCCTCTGCTGACCACGGACCCACGGTGGAGAAGTCCACGCAGTGTGCACCACAGCCCCACAGGCTGGTGTCTGATTCGAACATGAAATCCGGTGAGGGACCAAATAGGGCTTTCCCATGCCACGCCTGCATGTGCCGAAGTCACTATCGGAGGTCCATGTGAACATCTGGGTTGAGAAGTACCAGGTGGTGGTAGAAGAAGCCTGCACAGAGAAAGCGAGCTTTGAGGTGCTGCATGGCCCTGTACACCCTGTTCCAAATTAATATGCAAATGATATTTTTCTCATTTACCTAAATAATTGATGTAAATAACAGTCAGCATAATTCCCATGTTATCAACTAAGAGTATAATTCAAATTTTATTGAACAAACCTCCTAATGATGACAGTATTTTTTTTAAACATAAAAAAACTTACAATGCACTGTTCCAAATTATTATGCACAGTAAGTTTCAAAACACTTCAAAGTTTGTAAAGAACTGAAAATTGTCATTTGTTGTGTTTGCAGCATATTTACTGAAATCAAAAGCTATTTCAATCAAACTTATAAAAAACATTTTAAATTTTTAAACATTTTAACATAGGACCCCTTATTTGATAGCAGCTTCACAAGTCTTGCATCCATTGAACTTGTGAGATTTTGGACAGTTTCTGCTTGAATTTGTTTGCAACATGTCAGAATAGCCTCCCAGTGCTGTTGTTTGGATGTAAACTGCCTCCCACCCTCACAGATCTTTTGCTTGAGGATGCTCCAAAGGTTCTCAATAGGATTGAGGTCAGGGGAGGATGGAGGCCACACCATGAATTTCTCTCCTTTTATCCCCGTAGCAGCCATTGATGCAGAGGTATTGTCATGCATGAAGATGATTTTATTACGGAAAGCATAGTTCTTCCATCTGTACCAGGGAAGAAAGTGGTCAGTCAAACTCCACATACTTTGCAGAGGTCATCTTTACACCTTCTGGGACCCTAAAGGGGCCGACCAGCTCTCTTCCCATGATTCCGGCCCAAAACATGACTCCACCACCACCTTGCTGACATTGCAGCCTTGTTGGAACAGGGTGGCCGTCCACCAACCATCCACTACTCCATCCATCTGGACCATCCAGGGTTGCACGGCACTCATCAGTGAACAGGACTGTTTGAAAATTAGTCTTCATGTATTTTTCTGCCCAGTGCAGCCGTTTCTGCTTGTGAGCATTGGTTAGTGGTGGCCGAATAGTTGCAAGACTCTGGAGGACTCTACACCTTGATGTCCATGGGACTCCAGAGGCACCAGCAGCTTCAAATATCTGTTTGCTGCTATGTAATGGTATTTTAGCAGCTGCTCTCTTGATCCGATTCATGGATCTGGCAGAAATCTTCCTTAATGTGCCTTTATCTGCACAAACCTGTCTATGCTCTGAATCAGCCACAAATCTCTTAAACGACCACTATAGTGCCAGGAAAACATACACGTTTTCCTGGCACTATAGTGCCCTGAGGGTGCCCCCACCCTCAGGGACCCCCTCCCGCCCGGCTCTGGAAGGGGGAAAGTTGTTTAAACTTACCTTTCTCCAGCGCTGGGCGGGTAGCTCTCCTCCTTCTCTCCTCCTCCGATCCTCCTCCTGGGCTGAATGCACACGCGCGGCAAGTGCTGCGCGCGCATTCAGCCGGTCGCATAGGAAAGCATTTACAATGCTTTCCTATGGACGCTGGCGTGCTCTCACTGTGAAAATCACAGTGAGAAGCACGCAAGCGCCTCTAGTGGCTGTCAATGAGACAGCCACTAGAGGATTAGGGGGAAGGCTTAACCCATTCGAAGCTTGAGCCTTGTTCAAGGTGGTGATGAGTGAGACATGATTTTTAAGCTCGTGGAAGGCCTCACCAAACAGGTGGTTGTTCTGACAGCCCCTCCAACACAAGTCGTTTGGGGTTTTACGCATACGGTATAATTTTACTGGGGTGGTATACCAGCGCAGCATGGTCTTATAGGCCTGTTCCTGGTGGGTAACGCACGCTGAAATAGCTTTGTTTGCGTCCCATATTTCTCTCCACTCTGTGCCCTCTAGGGTCTCTTTGAGATCTGTTTCCCAGTGGACGGTGTAGGTCAAGTCGCCCCAATCACTGTTTGTGCATAAATGTGCGTATAGGTATGAAATAAGTCCCTTTGGGGGGTTTTCATTGAGACACATTCGTTCAAAGCCTGTGGGCGCAGTTTGTGCTGCCGTTTTGGCCAGATTGTGTTGTGCAAAGTCTCGGATTTGAATATAGCGAAAAAAGTCGGGGGGCCTTAGCCTGGTGCTTTCCTGTAGCTTATCAAATGTCACTATTTGGTTCCCTTCATACAGGTGGATCGCTCGCTGTAGGCCCGCTACCTCAGAATTATGTTAAAGATATGCGGAATTCTATTAAAACTCAATTCTGCTGATATTTTTGATTAATTGGATTTATAGGTTTTAGGTGATTCTATGACATAAGTAATGTGATGTATATTTAGAATAATTATGATTTTAATGGTGTCTGTAATATGTGCC